GGGCCGCCGCCGCCTGCGAGTCGCCGAAGTTTGGGCTCCCACCCTGCGCGGGCACGAGCCCATCTCTCATCTCCTTCCTCTCGGCCCCCTAGGCCGCGCGGAGCTAACTGGCAGCCCCCCTCGTACCTGGAGGGGCGCAGCCTCCACTCGTGGCTCAGTGCCACGCCGGGTCGCGGCGCGGGGCGGCGAAGACGCGCGGAGACGGGGGCGCTGACACCCACTCGCGGCTGGAGGTGGGGGAAGGGCGCCCAACGGCGCGCTTGCAGCACTGCACATGCGCGAACTCAGGGGCTGCTTGCCATTTCCAGGGTCCTCGGAGAGGTGGTCCGCCGGCCTTCGGGACTACATTTCCCATAAGCCTCCGCGGCCGCGTCGTTAGGGGCTCTCAGAAAAGTCTGCGCCTTGTTAGGAGGGTCGGATGAGCAGCCCGAGATAATCCCTTGGCCTCGGCTGTTTCTCCCAGAGCGGATCGTGAATGACAGTCCACTACTTACCCTAAATACAAAAGATTACCCAAGTAATCTCTGATGATTGCATTTAAAGAAAAAATGCGTGCAAAATGAAAGAACATAAGTATTACCCATAATCTTCCAAAGATAACTGTAACCTTAAATTCACACCTTTCTGATTTTTTTTTTTTTTTTAGTTGGAGTCTCACTCTGTCACCCAAGCTGGAGGGCAATGGCACGCTCACGGCCACCGCAGCCTCAACCTGCTGGGCTCGGACGATCCTTCCACCTCAGCCTTCCAAGTAGCTGGAGCTATAGGCACGCGCCACCATGCCTGGCTAATTTCTTTGATTTATTGTAAAAGATGCGGTCTCGCCAAGTTGCCCAGGCTGGTCTCAAACCCGTAGGCTCAGTCAGTCCTCTCACCTCAGCCTCCCAAAGTGCTGGGATTATAGACGTCAGCTCTTTCTGAATTTTTTTACAAAACTAGCAATAAGGTTACCATGTGTGGCAACTAACTTTTTTTCCTTTTTTCTCCCCCTCCACTCGGTTTATTGAGGTAGAGTTGATCGTTATAAAAATTGTATATATTTAAGGTGTACAATGTGATAACTTGATGTATACATTGTGAACTATCCAGCATAATCAAGTGAAATAACATATACATCACTCTACATAGTCACTGTTTTTTTTTTTTGTCTGTGTGATGAGAATTCTTAGGTGATCCTTCTGCCTTAGCCTTTCATATAGCTGGAACTAGAGGCGTGCACCACTATGCCCAGCTAATTTTTTTTTATTTATTGCAGAGATGAGATCTCACCCGGTTGCCCAGGTTGGTCCAGAACCCCTGGGCTTGGGCAATACTCTTGCCCACATATTTCAAGTATACAATACAATATTGTCAACTATAGTCACATTGTTGTGCATTAGATGTCCAGAACATATTCATCTAGCATAACTGAGACTTTGTACCCCTGGACCACCACCTCCCCATTTCCCCTTCACCCTCAGTTCCTTCCTCCCTTTATTCTTAGAACCTTTAAGTTCACAGCAAAATATAGGCAGAAAATACAATTAATTCCCATATAGCTCTTGCCCTCACACACATACAGCCTATCCCACATTAGAGCAGTGTATATGATACTGCTGATGAACTTACACTGACATATCATTGGGACCCAAATCCAGATGACATTAGAATTCACTCTTGATATTGCTCATTCTATGGGTTTTGACAAATGCAATTATCCACCATTACAGTTTTGTACAGAATAGATTCACTGCCCAAAAAAATCCTCTGTGTTTCAATCTGTTCGTCCCTCCCTCCCCCCAACTCCTGGAAATCTTTGATCTTTTAGCTTTCTCCAAAGTTTTGCCTTTTCTAGAATTTCATATCATTGAAATCATGCAGTATGTAGCCTTTTCAGATCGGCTTCTTTCACTTAGGAATATGCATTTAGGCTCCCCAAGTATTTTCATGGCTTGATAGTTCATTTCTTTTTAGAACTGCATAATGTTCCACTTTCTGGATGTACCACAGTTTTTATCCATTCACCTACTGAAGGACATCTTGGTTGCTTCCAAGTTTTGGCAACTGTGAATAAAGCTGCTCTAAACATGTGTAAGTTTTTGTGTGGACTTAAGTTTCTACTTCCTTTCAGCGAAAAGCATGATTACTGGGTTGTATGGTAAGAGTATGTTTGGTTTTCTAAGAAACTGCCAAACTGCCACAGTGGCTGTACCATTGTACATTCCCACCAGAACTCACGAATAAAAGTTACTGTTGTTCCAAATTCTCACCAGCCTTGGGTATTGTCAATGTTCTGAACTTTGGTCATTCTAATAGGTGTGTAGTGGTTACAACTAGCTCTTCATTAAAACAATATATAGTCGGCCGGGTTCAGTGGCTCACGCCTATAATCCCAGCACTTTGGGAGGCCGAGGTGAAAGGACTGCCTGAGCCCACGGGTTCGAGATCAGCCTGGGCAGCTTGGCGAGGCCTCATCACTACAATAAATTAAAAAATTAGCCGACTGGGGTGGCACACACCTATAGTTCCAGCTACTTGGAAGGCTGAGGCGGAAGGATCGCCTGAGCCCAGCAGGTCAAGGCTGTGGCGGCATGAGCACGCCACTGCACTCCAGCCTGGGTGACAGAGTGAGACTCCAACTTCAAAACAAACAATATATAGTCTCAAACAGATTCTATAAAAATGTGCTTACACCAGTGTTCATACCAGAATTATTCACAATATCCAAAGATGGAAACAACCCAAGTGTCCCCCAACCAATGAATGATACAATGGAATGTTATTCATCCATATAAAAGAGTAAAATTCTGACTGAGCCCGCAGGTTCGAGACCTACCTGGGCAACTTGGCGAGACCTCATCTCTACAATAAATTAAAAATTAGCCGGGCGTGGTAGTGTGTGCCTGTAGTTCCAGCTACTTGGAATGCTGAGGTGGAAGGATCGCCGGAGCCCAGCAGGTCGAGGCTGCGGTGGCTGGGAGCGGCCACTGCACTCCAGTCTGGGCGACAGTGAGACTCCAACTCAATAAATAAATAAATAAATAAACTGAATTGAGGGATGGTCTCATAAATATATACTGCTAAAAATACAAAATCTCAGCAAGATCTTTTCTTTGTTTGTTGTTTAACTGTTTTGTTTGATAGAATAAGTCCATACCTCATCAGAAACAAAAACAGAGTATATGAGAGTAATAACTATTAGATATAAAAATGTATTATAAAGCGAAAATAATTTTTAAAAAACTTTTAGGTACTGGCTCCAGAAAAGCCAAATAAAGACTTAGGAGTATATATTAATTTAGTGTTTCTGCCGGGCTCGGTGGCTCAGCCTGTAATCCCGCGCCTTTGGGAGGCTGAGGTGAGTGGATTGCCTGAGCCCGCGGGTTCAAGACCCGCCTGGGCACTGAGACCTCATCTCTACAATAAACCAAAAAATTAGCTGGGCATGGTAGTGCACGCCTGTAGTTCCAGTTACATGGAAGGCTGAGGCGGAAGGATCGCCGGAGCCCAGCAGGTCGAGGCTGCGGTGACCGGGAGCGGCCGCTGCACTCCAGTCTGGGCGACAGAGTGAGACTCCAACTCAAAAAAAAAAAAAAGCAATTATTATAATATGTGAAATAATTTTGACCTGTATGTTTGGCCAATAGTTAAATAATAATAATAGTGTTGGAGAAATTTTGAAAAAATATTCCTTAAATAAGTCTGGTGTGAAAGTAATACATAAACTCTTTCTGAAGGCCTCATATCAAAATGTTATAATTACAAATTATCATAATCTTTAATCTTGTGCAAAGATGTATATACAAGACTGTTTCTCACATTGCAATTTGTATTTGTAAAACATTGGGCATGATCTAAAAATATTTCAGTTGGTATAAGTAAAATATATTGTGGTAATATGCAGGTAGAATTTGGAAGACATTGAAAGTGATCATGTATACTAGCTCCATGGGGAGGTGTCTAATCCACTGAGAAATAAGAAAAGATGCAGATCACACAAGAATGTGGAGAGTGAGACCCTATTTTAGTAAAAAACATGCATATATATATATATACACATATTTTTTTCCTGAGTCAGAGTCTCACTCTGTCACCAAGAGTGGAGTACAGTGGCATTGCTCATGGCCACCACAGCCTCGACCTACTGGGCTTAAGCGATCCTTCTGCCTCAGCCTTCCAAGTAGCTGAAACTACAGTTGTGTACCACCACACCCAGCTCATTTTTTGATTTATTGGAGAGATGAGGTCTTGCCAAATTGCCCAGGTTGATCTCGAACCCTTGGGCTCAGGCCTCTTGCCTCCGCCTCCCAAAGTGCTGGAATTATAGGCGTGAGCCACCCTGCCCAGCCATATATTTAAAAGACCAAACACTGAAATGTACAAAGAGAATGGAGAACCCTCCCCAGCATGCATGCACGCATGTGCATACGATGGGTGCTGTGTTTCTGAAGATGTTGTAAAATTCACAACCATATAATCTTCTATTAATATCCCCTTAGGAATAAAGGAAAAGTGTAGAGAGTGTTTTTGGAAAACATATCGCATGTTTTTATTTAAACACTGCTTTAAATTATTTTGACTTTCCACTAAGATTTCGTAGTGTTTGTTCTCTTCCTAGACAACCCTACTGCACATCCTAGCGATTGTTTGCTCCTTTCAAAGTGTGTTACGATATCTCCCTTCACTTTGCGACAAGGACTGACACCATCACTATGTGCATGCTCTGATGACACTGCTATAGGATATACAGAGGTTTTCATTGTAATAGTGACAGTTTCATGTGGAACAAATGTCCCACAACATAAACAACAGTATGGTTTGTTCATATAATTTTGTTTTTATTTTTGAGTTGGAGTCTCACTTTGTCGCCCAGGCTGGAGATCAGGGGCACACTCCCGGCCACTGCAGCCTCAGCCTACTTACTGGGCTCAAGCAATCCTTCCTGGAACTACAGGCACACGCCACCATACCCAGTTAATTTTTTTTTTAATTGTAGAGATGAGGTCTTGTCAAGTTGCCCAGGCTGGTCTCAAACCGATGGGCTCAGGCAATCCTCTCACCTCAGCCTCCCAAAGTGCTGGGATTATAGGCATGAGCCACCGCACCCAGCCTGTTCATAGAATATTAACAAAAATGTTTTAATTTTTCCTTACTCGCTAAAGTGACATCACCATGAAGCACAAGCACATATCGCTATACATGATTGCATCAATGAACTTTTGTACTCTGTTCTATGAAAATCCATTGCTTTTTCTTACATTTTGAATGGATCTTTATGCCAACGTGATTTTGTAACATCATCCCTTGGTCATTTGAAAAACACTGGTTCAAGCCGGACTCGGTGGCTCA